AGAATTTCCCTCAGTGTGCTCCGTGGAACACTAGCCCTGTTCTCTGTGTTCAAGTGAGAATGGAGAAGCCTTAACGCTACATCCACCTCCTGGGGCATCACCATGCTCAATAGCATTTTAAAGGCTCTGATAAGTCCCGCAATAAAGAAATGCCTTTTGCTTTCACCAGAGAGCCCTTTTTCTTTTCTTTTCTTTTTTTTTTTTTCAGAGAGCCCTTTTTCAAGGGACTCCTAGGAACACCTCATGAGACTAGTGGGCTTTCCAGATAGGACCCTGTCTTGTTCCATCTGGTCCTCACAACTGCCCTGTAATTTGGGGTTATTATCTTTATGTCCCATGAGAACACCGAGACCAAGAACTCAGTGATTTGCCCAAGGCTGTGCAGCTAGGGATGGTCAGATTAAAGTCCAGGACTGGACACTGTAAGTCTAGGGCTTTGTCCCTAATTCAGTGGTTTTTTACATGGCATTTGTCACTTACATGCCTGCCTTCCCCACTGGGCTGTCAGTGCATTGAGGATAAATAATCTCTGAATCATCCTTTATAGACAGAGGTTATTGCATTTTTCTGATTAATAAAGTATACATATTTTTTGAGGGGGAATACAAAAAATTACAGAGGAGGAAATCCCAATGAAAGTTTGACCAGGTGGGCTGCTTTCGGATTTGGAGGCCCCTTTCCTCAGATCTGTCTTCCCTCCCGAGATTTAGCTACTGCTGGCAGGGGGTGGGGGCCTGGTGGCTCCGGGTGGTTGATGGATTTCAGTGAAGATCAGATGGATGCTGCTTTGAGATAACCATTAAATAAATCAGGAAACATTATGTTATTGATTGAACAAAATTTTACAAACGCTAAATTCTTATATCACTTAGTGTCTATAATTAATTTTTACCCAAACTATCTCCTGAACAAGACCTAAGTTGATAAAATTCATTGTATAGTTAAGCAAGCTACTTTCAAAAAATAACACATCCAAATTCTGAGTTTTGAAAGATTATATACTTTTCAGCAAGGTATTTCTACAAAGCTGAACAACAAGGAAAGGTAAGCACTGGCTTGTGACCAATAGACAAAGATTGTTTCTGAAATATTTCTATTTCATGTGAATCAGGTTAAAAACTAAAAGGAAATGCTAAAGGTAATAATGAAATACTAAAGGTAAAAATTTTAAAGAATGTATTTTTGTAAAGCAGGCCATAGATGAAGAAGTAGCAAGGCCCCTGGAGTAGTCAAATTCAGAGAGACAAAGTAGAATGGTGGTTGCCAGTGGCCGGGAGGTGGTGGGTGTGGAGAGTTGTTTAATGAGGACAGAGTTTCAGTTTTGCAAGGTGAAAAAAATCCTGGAGATTGGTTGCACATCAATGTGAATATACTGAACACTACAGAAGTGCACATTTAAAAATCGTTAAGGGGCTGGGCATGGTGGATCACACCTATAATCCCAGCACTTTGGGAGGCTGAGGTGGGAGGCTTGCTTGAGACCAGGAGTTTGAGACTAGCCTGGGCAACATAGTGAGACCCTTTCTCTACAAAAAAATTTTTTTAAATAAGCTGGGTGTGGTGGTATGCGCCTGTAGTCCCAGCTACCCGGGAGGCTGAGGCAGAAGGATCTCTTGAGCATAGAAATTTGAGATTACAGTGAGCTACGGTCGTGCTGCTACACTCCAGCCTGGGTGACAGAGTAAGACCCTGTCTCTAAAAGAAACAATGGTTAAGATGGTAAATTTTATGCTTTGCGTATTTTACCACAATTAGAAATTTTAAAAAGTTTAAAGAAGAAGTAGCAAACCATAGTGAATAAATATGTAAAAAAAATTTTAAATGTATTTATATGAAGTTCAAGAACAGGCAAAATAATCCCTGGTGGTAGAAAACAGACAGTGATTACGCTGGGGAGGAGACTTGGTGACCAGAAGGGGACACGAGGGGGCTTCTGAGGTGCATAGAATGTTCTACTCTTGCCCCAAGTGCTGGTTTCACAAGTCTGTCTATTCGGTTTGTAAAAAAATGTATACATTGTACAATTACGATTTGTCCATTTTTCTTTAGATACGTTAAACGTTTTAGTATTTTTTTTTTTTTTTAAGAAAGATTCCTGTTGGAGGGGGAAAAAGAAAACAAAGTCAGGGCTGAGAATGCAGCTTTGAGATACAGCCAGCAGAAGCAGCATGGGAGCCGTTGAGGGGTGCAGGACTGCAATTCCCCAGTCTCGTGCCTTCTTTCTCCTCGGCTGAGATCCTGAAGGATGGGGCTGGGTCTTATTCGTGTTTGTAAAAACATTTCTAATACATTGCACAAAGGTACAAAGTAATACACTGCAGGAAGGTACACAGCAGATGTTTGTTGAGTGAATGACTGAATGTACGAAGGAATCCTCACCTGGGTAGATGCTCCGCAGGGAGAGGATGGTTGTGGATGTTTTGTCTAAGAGGCCACAGCTCAGCCTTGCTCGGTTTCTCTGCACGGAAACGAGGAGGATGATAGCTGCCCCCCAACCCTCGGCCCAGGAGAGTCGTTGCGGTACTTGAGTGAAATAATTCAAAGGTAAGGGAAGCACTGAGCGCGTCTGATGTGCTCTGCTGCGCCTCCCCTGCTTCCATCGCCTGTGTGGACAGCAGACGGGACGTGGTCACTGCAGACAGTTCTCTGTTATTCAAAAGCTCGGTCCCGCCATTTTAAGTACTTGGATTTCGTTACCTTTATTTTCATAGATCGAGCGACTTCAGGAGTCTGGTCAACCCTCCTTCATCAATGCAATCACGTTTGCATAACACCTTCCGGGGAAACAATACCTACTGCATATGTCACCTGTGATTGAATGGAAGTAAACTGCTTTTCGGACGATTCTGATTTTAGGTGGCAGGAAGGTATCATCTGAGCTAAGATCTGCCCGAAGGACTCTGACCCACTGAAAATCTAGCTCTCTGGGCCATTCCTAAACTTCATTATCTAATGTCCCTTGGCCTGTTCTGGCAGCTTTATTCAATATAGAGAAAGATCGGAAACAACCCAAATCCCCATCAACAGGAGAATGGGCACACAAATTGTGATATGCATGTAACAGAATACTACTCGGTGTGCCTCTCTTGGCAGGAGGTGGACGGCGAGCGAGGAAGGAAGAGAGGTCGCATGCGGAGTCCCCACATCGCAGAAGAGGGAGTGAACCCAATCCCGCCAGCCCTTTCTACAGCGACTCTGATGCATCCATGACGGTGGAGACTCACGATCTAAACACCTCTCCAAAGGTGACACCTCCCAACACGGTTGCATTGAGGATTCAGCTTCCAACACACGAATTCAGGGGGACACACTTAGACCATAGCACTAACCACCGTATTTCCTGTTAATATACGCATCTCTGCAATGAAGGTCTCTGGACATCGCATTCTGAGCACATTTCTGGCAACTTTCAAGATTACATTCCTAGGAATGTTGGTGAATTGATGGGTGACAAAGACATTCTTTTTTGTGAGCTGCAGTGGTTAAGGGCACAGACCCTAGAGTCAAATTGCCTGCAGTTGAATCCTAGCTCTGCCACTTACAGGCCGTGTGACTCTGGACAAGTCACTTCATCTCTCTGTCTCTGCAAATGGGCGCAGTAGCAGTGCCAGCCCCACAGGGCTGTTGTAAGGGTTAAAAAAGTGAATATCTGAAAAGCACTTGGAGTTGCCCTGGTGTATACTACATGTTTCTTCTCCTCCTTTTCTTCCTCCCCCCTCATTATTATTATAATTATATAATTACTGTTTTTTCTCCCTATAAAATGGAGCATCACATTGGAGCAGCTGCCCAGGGACAGTCAGGAGGGCCGTCCTGAAAATGACTAAGATGTTTCTGACTCAGCTGTGGGTTGGCAGCCGCACCGCGAGGAGAGCTGAGCCTTGGCGAACGCTTCTCATGTACGAAGTCTGACCCTGAGATATTGAGGCCGAATCTTTCCCCAACAAAGGGAAACATGTTTATGAACATTACCTTCGGAGCGCTGTCCTCTGGAGGCCGTCCCGTGTGCACTGACCATGCCGAGGCGGCGCAAACAGTTCTGGGGATCTCCTGATGCCTTCCTCTGCCGTCACCCCGATCTGAAATAGTCGCTCCCTGAACATTTATTTGGCCAGATCTCCTTTTTCGGACATCAGAGATCATGCTTAGGTTTACAGTTATTTGTGTCTGAGTCCTCCAGTGCTGGCTTGCGACCCTGTATCCCCTGGCCTGCACGCAGCGTTAATGCGCCATAAACACTGGCTTTGTTGCTAAGTTGTGTTGAGATCCCAGAGGCCTTCTTCTGAACATCCCCAGCGTGGCCAATCTGTCATCTGGGGGGTGGATGTGACTCTAGGAAGCCGCACAAAGCAATTCTATGTCAAGTTTGCTGAATGAATTGAGCCATGCCAATTCTGTCCTATAAATAAATTTACAAGACTGGTTTTCTCGCGTGGCTTGTAAGCCAGGGTCTAGCTGCCATTCCCCGAGAAGCGTTCCAGAAAGAATTTTGAGCAGGGCCTTAGACCAGGCGCGTGGAGTCCCAAGGCCAAGGCTGACTGCGCGGCTCATCCCGCATGGGGCTGCAATGCTGAGATTGGCCACCAGAGGGGGGCCGTGTCCCAGACCCCACCACGGGAGGCTCCGCAACTGCTCCAAGAACTTTAGCTTATAAAGACGCGGCGGGAGCGGCGGCGGGTCCACATTTCAGCCAGTACCTAGCGCTGCCGGTGCCTCCTCAGGACATCTGCAGATTGCTGCCCGAGGCGGGGCACCAAGACAGGGACTCCAGGCACAGACCCCCACTCGGGGTCTCCCAGGCGCAGACCCCCACTCGGCCACAGGTTGAGCCTTTCCTCCTGCGGAAGTGACCCTTGTGATCCTGCCCTGAGTTGAGTCCCTGGATGCCCCTGCAGCCTCGTTCTATGACTCCGTCTGGATTTGGCTGGCTGTGGGGACGAGCTCGGAGGGGCTGCCTGGGTCTCAGTGTGGTGGCAGCCAGCTCTCCAGCCACCATGGCATATGCTGGGAACTGAGAGGACAGGCTCTGCGGCCTCAGCCAGGGGCACTCAGGTGAGTCTTGGTGCTAACTTTGTCCTATCTCCTGGGCATGGTGTCCCAAAGGCAGTCGCAGGACACTGGGATGTGCCAGACGGAGCAGAGAACCAACTCTGGGGGTCCTCAGGATGTATTGCCTGGAGGTGCCGGCCCCAGGTGGGAAGGTCCAGTCTGCGGACATCAGCTGGGCCCTTATCCAGCTGCTGGAGCTGAAGGGCGTGAGCCTGCGTTTGGGGCGCCAGAGGGAAGCTATGGCCTTGGTGGCAACTCTGCTTGGCTCCTGTCAGAGCTCCAGAGCCGATTCAGGGAGCAGATGGTACATGTGCATGTGCGTGTGTACGCGCGTGTGCGTGTGCCCAGTGGAGGGACACGGGAAGGGAGAGGTGACGTATAAAACATCTGTACCTCTCCAGCTTCGGGTCATGATGTAGGTTAGCTAAGTACAGTTAGAGGAGCAAAGTGTGTGAAACCTACTCAGTGATTGTCTCTCTGGAGGGAGCTGCATTCACGGTGACTGCTGGAATCGGGAGCAGCATTAAGGCTCGTGCCACGCCCTCAGCAGGAGAGACTCCCCGATGCTCAGAGAGGGACTTGGAGAGGCAGGGTCCAGTTTCAGCCTTGGGCTGCGTTCATCACTGCCTTCTGCAAGGGACCTCAGACAGCTTTGGTCCTGGGACTGGCTAGGAAGGAGGGAGGCCCCAGGAGCCCAGAGACCCCCTGTCTGGCTGCTCGGCAGGGTCAGCAGATGCTGGGGTGGGGGGGTGTTGGTTCTCATCAGACTCTGCCACCAGCTCCCCTTGTGACCTTGTTCGTAAAGCCCTTCTGCATGCATTTTCGCACGTGAGGCCCACAGTGATGCTGAGTGGCTGGCAGCTGTGGACCTGCCTGTCTGAAAGGTGATGCACCTGAGGCTGAATGCGGCCAGCTCACTGGGCCAAGCTCCCTGAGAAATACAGAAAGAGAGGGGCAGGATGGGAGCCCTTGGCCTCTGTGTTCCCCACTCCCCACGTGCCTGCACAGAGCCCAGGGAGGGGCGCACAGATGGCCGAGGGCTTTTGTAGCTCTAAAATGCAGAATCTGGAAGCAGATCCTTGGTGCCTTGGGTACAATTGCCTGGGAGTGAATCATGACACTCCGAGAGGTCAGTAGAGTGTCCCCTCCCTGCTTAGAGGGAGGCCTCCTTCTTTGACTTGAAGCATTGAGGTCCAGATCCTTGGACCTCAGGTAACTGTGGCTTCCACACCCTGCTTGTGTGTCCCCTGCCCTGTCCCCTCCCTTCAAGCTCTCAGAGTCTCTCCTCAGCCCCAGGGTCCCCACCTGCCGGGGTCATTGGCTGGCTCTCTGAGGTGTGACCTTCTTCACCCTAAAGGTGGCCACCAAAGCGAGCTGGCATGCGCCTCCCAGACAGAGCAGCCACATGGCTAGGCCAGAGCCCCGTGTGGGAAGCCCCTGCCTGGAGCCTCTTCCTGCGCTGATATCTGTTGTTCTTGCCTCTCTGGTCTTGGTTGGTTCAACTTTAAAATGGGAGTGACGGAATGGGAATGCCGCCTGCCAGCCACTCTCACTGTGCTCCGGGGAGGAGCTCACAGGGAGATCCCAGGTGGCAACTGGCCCGTGCCCTGTGGGGTGGGCACACGCGCCAGGGGGTTGCACTGCCGTCCCCACTTTCACCGTCAGTTGCTCTTGCCCAAGAGCACAAACTTGGTCCAAAGGCGGTAAGAATCATGATCTGAGAGTCCAAATGCCTGTCCCCCACTCCCAAGAAAGAAAAACAGCCCCAAATAAAACCTGGGCAGACAGAACGTGCTTAGGTTTCATTTCCAAGTAACGAACATTAGCAGAGTTGGCTGCACATTTCCAAGCCCATCTCGTTCATCTCTGGCCCCTGCTTGGCCCTAGCCCCTCTCCCAGCTGCTCGCCGGGGCTCTTGCTCCAGCGGCCGAGGGGTGGAGGGCCACCCCCCAGACACACTCCAGCTCTGGCCAGGAGCTGACCGGAAGAGGAGGACGGTGGAAGTGGCCATGGGGCCCCACACCTCCCCTCCACGGGCAGCGCCTGTCCAGCTCTGTGTGAGCTCTGGACAGCAGTGGCTGTTGCCTTGGCAGAGAGAGGGTCATCGCAGGCAGAAGAGACATTGGCTTCTGCTTCGTGGCCCCCCCAGGAGCGAGGCCAGAGGGAGGGTCCCGCACTGAGTGCTCGTAAAACAAGGGAGGGTCTCCTGCAGCTTAGCAGTGACGGAGCTGCCCGGGGCCCCACCTAGAGGCCCTCACTGGGTGGAGGACTTGGGTGGAGGCTGGGTGGAGAGACCAGCACACTGGACACCACGCGGCACAGAGAAGCCGGGGTGGGCGGTGTCCGGGGCGGGGAGGAGGGATCTTGCTGCAGCAGTGGACCCGCCCCTCTTCCGTCCCTCCATGGGCTAGAAGAAAGGCTCGCAGGGATTGGGAACACCATGACTCTGTGTATGTGTGTGTTTGTGTGTGTGTGTGTGTGTGTGTGTGTGTGCGTGTGCCCATGTGTGGGGCACGTGGAGAAGAGATAAGAGCAGAAGCCCCGGCCTTCCCGTAGTGTTGCAAGGACAGTTGAACAGCAACTGGTCAGTTCTGGCCTCTTCTCAGCCCTCACGTCAGAGGTCTCTGGAGGCCAAGTTCGAGGCATTAAATCAGGGATTCACATTTTGCTCTGCCCGGTGGCGCGACCCGGCCAGCCTCCCCCTTCGTTGTCCCTATTTATGAAACAGTGAGGTGCCTCTGTCCCCACCCTGCCTCTGGAGAGGAAGCAACTGAGCTTTCCAATCACTGCGTCGTTCCCCCACCGCCACCTGCCAGGCACCGCGTTCTCCCCCAGCTCCTGGGTCTCAGGGTCGAGATTGCTCCGCGCTGGGCCTGGGACCCATCCTCCTAACGGCTTTTGCCTCCCAAAGATTCATTTTTAAAAAGCGGATGTTTGGGGTTTGTTGTCAAGATAGTTAAGAGCATCAGAAGTGACGGTCGAGATAAACTCATGGCTGGAACGGAGAGGAAAGCAGAGAGTAATCTATCAAATCACTGAGCGTGAATGTGAGAAAAGCAAAATCAAGTATTTTATGTAAATAAATACTAGTAATTTTGCTGGAAAAATGGACTTTTCTCATTACACAAAGAATGCAAATGCATCACAGAAAACCCAGAACATCCACAAGCAAGAGAAAATCTCCACACTCCCTTCCAGCCAGAGCCACCCGGAACACCTCCCAGCGCAGCCTTCCCATCCACTTACACATGGCATACACGTTACCGTATGCATGTATGGTAACGCGTACAGAATGGGATTGTGTTGCTCACACTGTTGTGTAAATGGGCTGTTTTGCTTCAAGGAGCACAGGTTTGCCCAAGTCAATCAGTGGGTACTTCCTGGAACACTGTGGGGTGGATAGAGCCAAAGACCCAGTGAGCCAGCCTCAGGGACCATCGGACACGAGCTCTCCCGGCCTATGGCTGCCCAGCCTTTTAGAGTCTGGGGGTCCCCACAGAGGCTGCCTGCTCCTGGGGCGCCACCGGGCCAGATGACTTCCTGCCGTGGTCCCATACGGAGCCCTTCTGACCACACCAGCCCAGCTGGTGTGGGGAGCAGTTCTGGTCTTCTCTGCTGTGTTGGCTGGTGGTCTCTGCACCCTCTCAACACATCTAGTTTCCTTCCTTTCCAACACAGAACAGAATCCCAGAGGGCTCCAAAACTTCTCCCCGGTCAACCTTTGGGTCAGCAGGGCCGCCTCCTGCAGGCTCCACCTGGCATGGCCTACCGTGGCCCCGGCCTCACCAAGGGTGGCTGAAAGGAAGGGAAGGTCCCCCAGTCAGAAAGGTCCAAAGAGCCCTGGTCTTCCAAAGCACTGAGGAAGTTGGGGTCGGGGCTCAGGGTTCCAGGGACCTGGAGGGTGGCACCTGGGTCCTGTTGATGAGGAGAGGGTCCCAGAGTTCAGGCTCAGGGTCACAGGGTGGGCATCTCGTTCTATACATTCGTTTGTTTCCACCTGTGGTTGATTCTCTCTCTCCCCTGCCCCGTCCTTCCTCCCTCTCCTCTCGCCACCTCTGCCGCCACCGCCGCCGCCGCTGCAGGACGTGATGGAGAACAAAGCCATGTACTTGCACACCGTCAGCGACCGCGACACCGGCTCTATCTTCGAGGAGCCCTTCGACGGAAGGAGTCTGTCCAAGCTGAACCTGTGCGAGGACGGTGAGTGCTTCTGGCTCGGTCTTGGGGTGCAAGATCTGGCCTGGGGGCAGGGAAGGAGCCCTGCCCCCCACCCAAACTTGGCAGTGCCCCAGGGCACGAGTGACCTCCCTGTCTAATACTGTATATGTTGAACTTCATTCCTCAGAAGGTCTTTTCCATGAGTTTCTCATTCATTCATGTCAGCAAACCTGTTTGATCAGCAAGACGAGTACCCATTTTACAAATGGGTAAAATGTTGAAGCTGAGAAAAGCAGTAAGGACCACACACTTGCCAGTCAGATAGAGGTTCCCGCACCAAGTCTGCTGACCTCGAGGGCAGCCCCTCTGTCCCGAGAGAGTGAGGGTGAAGTCAGGTGAGGGTATCGGAACCAATCAGCGCAGGCCCTCCCAGGTGAGGAGAGGGGCCACCCATGCCCCTCCTGAAGCATCTGGGAGGGGCAAACACACCTCTCCAAGGTGCCCACACTGGGTGAGTTCCTCTGCCAGTGACCCAGGAGGTGCTACATCTCGGGGCTGGTTCTTTGCTGAGACTGGAGACAGAACTGACGCGGCTTCCCCGGGAGGAGCCCGAGCCCTGTTTTGGCAGCCTGATTCCTGTGCACGCAGCACAAGGCTCGGCACTCCTTAGGTGCCTAATAAATGCTTGCACATGAGCAAATACACTCCCACTGCAGCACATGTTGGAGAGGAGAGCTTTGTCCCCATTTCAAAGAGGCATAGAGTGAAGCTTGCAGAAATCTCGTGAAGACTTCCGGCCACGCAGAGACGGGCCTTTCCTCACAGGTTCCCTCCAGCACCGTGGTGGGTCGTGCCCCCCTCTGCCAGTGCAAGGGCAGCGGCTCCCCTCTTGCTCCCAGCCTGCCTGTCCTCCCACAAGGTGCCGAGTGCAGGTGGGAAGCTGGGACGGTCTCAGCAGGCGGAGGAGACGGGAGGTCTAGGCTCCTGCTCGCCTGCCTCTGGGAACTGTCTACCCCTGCGGCTCCCACAACACGTCAGGCTATGGTTTAGGGGCCCCGCATGCTCCTACGAGAGGTTAAACCAGACTTTGCCCTCAAAGGGCTAATGATCCCCGTAGAAGGGTTCTGGCAAGGGAGCGGCTGCCCAAAACATAAAGTAGGTTAAGACAAGTGTGGATGTTAAAGTCGGGCAGGCATTTTCCTGGAAAAGGCCTCGAATCCTAGAAGAGATCGTGTAAGAGAAGAGGCGGGGACAGTACGCCAGCATTGTGATGCCAAGCCGGGCAGCGTTTCTGTTGAGTTCTTCCCCTTGGGCAGAGGGAAGGCCCTGGGGTGCTGCCCCTGCTCAGCTCCCAACAGCGCGTCCGCAAAGGGGAAGCTGCCGGCCACATCCACGGGCATGTCAGTCAAGAGGCCGGGTTGGTTTGGCCAGAAAGAACAGGGCACAGCACCGTGGGTGATCGGGGGGACCTCAGGGCCAGCCCGGGGCCCAGGGAGCCATGGTGGTGTCACTGGGACCACCTTACCCTCTTCCCCTTACTTCTTCTTACTCTCCCTTTTTCTGAACCCCAAATTTAAAAAGCTCATCTGGATCAGAAGGACTGAAAAATAACAGTAACGCCAGCTGCCTTGCTTTTTGGGCCCCCAGCTGTGGGGAGACCTGTCAGAGGGCAGTTTGAGAGCCAAGCTAGCAAGTGTCCCGTGCGTGGGGTCCCCCGAGGCCCAGTCTCTTTGGGCCACAGTGTTCTCATCTCCCACATGGGGACGCAGTGGGGTGTCTCTGAGGTTCTGTCCCGTTCTAAAATTCTGTGCGTAAAAGCAGACCTGGCCACTGTGTGAGGGGTGTGGTCCTTATAAACCCCAAGTCAGTGGCTCCCACTTCAACAGCGCTGCGAACCGAGGCCCTGACCACGTGGCTGAGAAGGCCCATCTCCCTCCGCACTGCCAGGTCCGCACAGCCGCTGACCTTCAACTTGCTGGCTACTCACGGGGCCTCTGCCCCCGAAGGGTGCTCTCCTGGCTGGGGGACACAGCCCATTCCAGTGTGGCCTGAGCCCTCGCCTGCTCCCCTCCACAGGCCTTCCTGTCGCCCTGCGCGCCCATCCCCCTTTCCCCGCCTCTCTTTCCTTTCTTCTGTCGTCCTATTTCCTTCTACCATACTGTAATCTTATTTATTACGTTTATCGTTCATCGTTTGTTCCCCGCGGCAAGAATATCGCTGGACCAGGGCAGGCATCTCTGTTTTGTTCATTGACATCTCCTAAGCCCAGCACACAGTCGGTGCTCACTAGGTCTATGTGGAATGAATGAATGAATGACCAAGTGAATGAACAGAGGGGTCCTTCAAAGCTGATTGCCGAATTCTCTCGGTCTCCCCCACTCCTCGTTACTGGGACATGAGAAACACAGACAGAGCTGAGTGTTGAGATGAAACCAATAACTTAAAAGCTTGTAGGTTTCTGATTTGATTCTTCCCCTTTCCCTCCCATTCGAGAGGAAAACGATGAGCTTGACCTGGGGAAATTCAAGCCAGATTTGGTTTTGTTTCTGAAGGATTTTGCTGCTTCTTTGATCCTCCTCCTCTCTGCAGAGGGAGGGCAAGGGATGGGATGGGTGGGGAGGTGTGGAAGGAAGCGGGGAGCCAGCCCCCCTGAACCTGGCTGGGAGGAGCTCCAGGTCCCCCCAGGACGTCCTCCTCAAATGTGGGGCCAGAGGTGGGAGGCGGGGAGGGGCCGCGGCACTTCCTCTTGGGGGCCGGCCGTGGGGGTGTTGGGATGGGGAGGCCGAGCTGCATGAGCACAGCCCGGATTGCAAGGTGTGACTCAGACGTGAGTGCAGGTGGGACCTTCAAGGTGGCAGGTGTCAGGTGAATGCATGGGGTCTGCTGCGCCTCCCTACTCCTGTGCCTTTGTGCCCCCTCTTGGGGAGTCCCCACCCTCCCCACCCCACCCCATAATCTCTCCGAGGCAGCACCCTCTGCCCTGCTCCCTGGCTCCATGGATTGCTCCCCCAAAGGTGTCCCTGCCGAGTCTCAGAGTCCGAGTCTTTAACCGCTCCTCTGTGTCCTGCTGGGTCGGGGTGAGCTGCTCTACTCTGATGCGGCCGCACTGCCCGTAGGGTGCTTGTCCATCCCGACCACACTGGCAGGTCCCTGAGGTGGGGAAGGTGTTTTGCTCTCCTTTTCATTCTCTTGAGACCTTGTAGGTGGCAGGTGCTCAGACATCTTTGTGATAGTTGGTGACGTGCCGAGGCCACTTGAGTAGTTAGTGGCAGAGCTGGGACCTGACTCCAAGTCTCCTACCTGGAATGCAGGTTCCTTCCTAGGAAAGGAGCCCACGTCCTTCAACCCCACGCAGCTCCTGCTCCGTGACGCCCTTGGGGCTCCCCTGCTCTGCATGCCTTGGCGAGGCCACCTCTGGGAACCTGCCTCCTTCCTCACATCTTAGCCATCAGCGTCCTCCTGGGAGCCTTGATGGGAAGGCTGAAGAAGGGCAGGGACCGTCCTGCTCACCTGGCTGGCATCCACCTGTGGGGCCGGAACTGCTTGGAAGGGCCAATTCCAAACGGGGCCCGGAAGGTTTTTTAGCCGAGCCGCCCTGATGGGTGCTCACTCTCTCACTGGGCAGTGGGCCTGCCCCTCACTCCTTCCGCCTTCCCCTCCCCCTCCCTGTCCTGTGCCTTAGTTTCGCCCATGCAGCCGGGCCTCTCCCATCTGGCGCCAGGAGGCCGAGCAGGAGGCTGGGCTGGGAGTGGGTGGGTCCGGCTGGTCCTGGCTCCTCTGTGGCACTGAGGGCCAGAGAGAGGTGTTAGTGTCAGAGAAACGCTGCAGTCCTGCCTGCCCCCCACCTCTCGTGGCGTCATCCCTGGGCGCACATGGGACCCGGGAGTAATGAGTTGCACATGCTCCTGGCCCTGCAGCCCAGCGCTCGCTGAGTCAGGCCCGGGCTCCCCATTCCTGTGTTCCTTCCCCATAAAATGACATTATTCTCCTAGGGGAGCCCCCGATCTACCTTCTCATCCGTCAAATCTCTCCAGTTCATTTGGCACAGCTGAGGGCTGCCGGGCAGCGGCCCAAGGGTGGGTGTGGATTTCCTGGGAGGGCCCCTGGCTGGGGCCTCAGGAAAGTCACGGCCCTCTACAGGTTGGAGAGTCTGGCTGGGGCAGAGGAGTAGGGCTATTAACCCGTTCAGAGCTGCAGCCCACTCGGGCACTTGTCCCCGTTCAGCAAGAGCAGAGAGCAAGGCACTGTGAGAGTGCCTGTGGTCACTGGGGGTCTTTCTTGCCCCGTGGGCCGTCCCTCCAGGACATGGGAGCAGCCTGGTGAGGGAAGAGCCTGGGGGTTGCATGTGTCGGGCCTGGGCTGGACTCCACAGACCACGCACGAGCCGTGCGACCTTGGCCACATTGACTCAGGCTCGAGTCGGGGCTTCTCTTTGCCCCTCTGTTCTTCACTCTGCCTCATTGGGTCACCTCGGGCTGGTCCTGTCCTCCCACCAAAGGGCACAGCTCCTCCCATGCTGCCCTCTCTGCGTGGATTTTCTCCTTATAGATCCCATAACTGCTCCCGTCCCTGACCCTTTGGGATCAGGTGGTTCCAGCCCGAGGACACTGCTCTATCCTGTGGGCGTCCCCTTTGATATGTTCCCTTTATTAAACCCTGTGAAGTCTCCTAATCCGAGTGGGCCACCTGTTGCCGCCAGGGCCTGACCCTCTGACTCTTAGTGTCCTCATCTGCAAGACGAGAGTAATGTCACTAACCTCACAGGGGCCGTGGCGGAAGCAAGTGATCTAACCCAAGCAAAGCACCTTGCACACGGTAGACCTCGACCCACATCTGTGTCCCTCCCTGCAAACCCTGGGGAAGTGGGGAAGAGGAAAAAGGAGGGATGAGGAGGTCAGGAGGAGCTGCTGCCACCCACGGCCCCTGGGAACCACTATGCCGTTGCTCAGGGACCCCCGTCCCGGAGCGTGTTCTAAGGCAGATCCTTAACCTTCAGCTGAAAAAAGTAGAGTTTTGGTTAGTGGGCTTTTCATGAGGCCTAG